GCCCCTGGGGGAAGGGAGCCCCCCGCCCCGAGCAGAAGCTTGCCTGGGTCCTTTGGCTTCGCCAACAGGGTCAGGGGAGCGCCTTCCTCGAGCGGTTCCTGCCGTCTCCGCACCTTTCTTTGGGCCGAGGTCAAGTCCCCTGGCAGCACCGAGAGTGCTTTCCTTCAGAAACGGCACCCGGACAGGCAGGGACTCAATCACAGCGCCAGCTGAAGTAACAGGCACATACAAACCCCAAACAAGCCCAACGCCAACGCACGGAAAGACCGACGCCTTCCAGCAGACCGAAGCCTTCCAGCAGACATAGCGGCACCGTGCCCCGCCGAGCCACCCAGCCCGCTGCCCGCCAGCAGCCCCGGGGGTGTTGCACCCCGAACGACTGCCCCACACCGACGCTGCAGCTGCCTGCTCCGATAAATACTTGCAAAACTGTTAAAAAACAATTACCTTATTACCATTTCACTGACACTTTCCCTAACAACCGCTTTTATTTCTGCCTACCACTATCACCTCGTGGTGACGTTACTCCGAACTCGTACCTCAGTCGCCTTTCGGTGCAATCACATCATTGTAATTAGCCGGTTTCAGTCTTAGCCCTCCTGTTTGGAAAAACCTCCCTCTCGTGCGCTTTGCCTGTCAACAGATGTTTACGACATCTCTCCCAATCACTCCAAAAGCATTCTCCCTTCACCCTGCCTCCTTTCCAAAAGCCCCAAGGAAAACTCTCATCTCACAGCTTTTAAAACGAGCACTTTCAGGGCAGGTTAGACACGCCTGCCCTACTTTCCACTTCTGATTTAAAGCCATTTTTCCAGCCTGCCAAAATACTGAAGTTTGTACTAGCACAGTAAGGCAACAACTAATAAAATTTTAACCCTGTAAACTAACTATAGTAACAGCACCTAAAAACGTCAAGGTACTAACTTTAGTCTCAGAACCTCCTTTAATTAGCTAGAGCCTTCAGAACAAGATTTAGTGTAGCCCGAGCTCAGAAGAAACACTTCACTCTTGAAGCCACACAAGTTAGCTGCCATGTTTATCCATTTTGAGAATACTGAAAGAATCATGTTAATGACCTGGGACACTGCTAAGAAATTCTCAGCTGGGTACAGCTCCTTTCACCCTGTGTGGAGTTGTCCGTTACCCTGGATCACAGCCATCTCCTGCCATGAAACCCAGGAGGCACCACCACCGCTGTGAGTTTGTGGGCAGCTCACCCAAGGTACCAGCTCACTGCCGCTGAAAGGGCAGGTCATTTCATCAACCCGGTTTTCTGTGATCTGTTTCTTGGCTGGCTGTACAGCCTGACAAGCTCCAGAGCTGGGCACAGGCAGCGTACAGTCAGGAGGAGGAACATGCACACATCTGAGCCGCAGCCTGAGCAGATGCCACACCTGACCTCAGAAACCTCTTCAAACATGTCCTCGCTGCTCCCAGTCTGCACGCTCAGTTATTACTTCTCCTCTTTCCTCACTCCAGTGGTGGAGCATGCTACTTTTTGAAAAACTACTTATTGGTAAAAATAGACACCCACTTCTTGTCAGATACGAAGAGTAGTTCCAAAATTCAGGGCTGGGTGTGAGGAATACCACGGCACCCACAGGTAATGCAAGAATTATCCCAAGCATGTTAAAGCACTCCTGGGTAGCATCAGAGGCCCATTTACAGTTCTTGTTAGACAACAGAACAAAGCAAAGCAGCAAAACGAACCCATTTCCACCTTTTACAACTGCTTTTTACATTACCATTACATCCTCAGTGATGAAGCAACAGTGTTTTGGTTCGGTTTTCAATACCGGAGATATTGCTACTCAAAACTCTAATTCTGGAAGCCATTGAAGGTCGGTCCTACCTGCTTGTATTCTATCTCTAACTGCTGACCCGGGAAGCCTAACAAACAAACAGAATACAGCAGCCACAGCTTTCTTCCAGGAGATCCAGATGCAGCAAGCAGTACGTAACTGTCTGGTGGATACAGCACTCACTTCAAGGAGTGAGACTATTCCCCTCACCCTCACACTCGAGTAACAGTAACTATAGCACATGCTATTAAAAAAAAAACTACCTTAGGCCTATAATAGCTCTCCTCTTCATCTGACAATGTCTCTTCCAGTCTTTAGTCTTCTTTTGTTTGCTTATCTGTTTCAGATTCCGTACTTTGTTCCAAGCCAAGTCCTCTGATGACTTCATACACAGCTGTTGCCATAAAAAACACCCTGCACCGCTCAACGTTACTCCAATACCTCTGCAGGATCATGAGACAGAGCTGGGTGTCCTGTTTAACCAGACCTCCTTCCACCTGCTTGATTCCCCTGTCTGCAGGCAGCACAGAACACACCATCCTGACATAGGGGGTCTGTTGCAGCAGAACCCAATTCGACATTACACAAGCAGTGAGAAGCAGCTCCTACCAGCTCTGACTAGCACAGGGAATGACAGGACACGAGAAGAGTGGAGCTTTCATTTATTGGGCTGAAACAACAAATAGATTCACTTTGACTTCTGGCTCTGTGCTTGTGCCTTCAACACTTTCACCACTATCTTCTGCTCCTCGATAAGAAAAGCTCGTTTGATTCTGGAAAGCAAAAACAACAATTTTAGGACACGTATCCACTTCAGTGAAAACAAAAATAAAACAAAACTACAACTAGTTTTGCTGTGTCCAACATTCATTGCACATGTGATGTCAGTTCCACAATTATATAAAAAGAGAAACCATCAGTGTTCTTCCAGCATCAAAGACAGCAACAGTGGCACTGTATGAACGCAGAGGTTTGGGGAAGAAGGCCTAGGGTGCCTGCAAATTTAGAGCGAGCGGCTTGTAGGCAAGAAAGGTGATACCTGATGGCCAAACACTGGAAAAATTACGGCCATCACTAACTTCAAAGGCAAAATGCAAAACTCCTCACTGGCAAACTAATTTAGCTGTTCTTAAAGCCAGAACTAGTGTGGCCAGCTGTGGTCAGTTCTCTTCCTTAGAACTACAGTAATAGAGTCCAGTTACCAACACAGGAATGGTTCCCCTCTCAGGATTAAAGCTTCTTTGCACAGAAACAGAGAAAACCCTGGCAGGTCACGTCATGCCTAAATATTATTATATCTGGAAGACATGTAGGGCCACCACGCAGATGGACCTTTGAGATTGTACTCACACATCAATAGCCTACTTGATGATTTCAGGTTAAAAGCACAAATTCACCACACACTCTGCTACCTTGAAACATTAAAACACATTTGGTATCTATGGCTACTGTCACAGCCCACAACACTTACTGAATATGCCTAAACAGAGACAGGAAAAAACCTGCTAATTACAGGCAAGGAGGTGGCTGTGTTTTTTAGTTTAGGCAGAATAAGGCATATGACTGTATTAAAAACGACCTCCCAAGCTCATAAAGTGTTTGGGAAAGCACTCAGAAAAAAACCTGGCTTTTAAAACATAAAGCTCACGCTATGGATCTGCATCTGTAACAACCCATCCTCAATGGCACCTAATGCAATTTAACTTAGAACTCACACAAGCCAAAAAAAAAAAAATGCTGGCAAGATTTGCACTACAGATAAAAAACCTGGCATTAGACTGCTGCCTCCAGAGATCTGCTCTGCTCTGACTATGATTCATAGAGATGATTTCTTCTTTGTAATACACCTTTACACCTCAAACTTGCCAAGGAAGTATAGGATGTACAGCTGTTATCCAATAAAACTGAATTCAGCGAGTCCCAGCAAAGGTCATCTTAAAGCTTAACCACATGAAGATGCTTCATATGCAACCAATTAGTATCTTTGAATTCCAAAATATCACAAAGAAGCCAAAAAGCTCAACTGATCTTACACTAGTATCTTTGCATAAGACAAAACAATAGGACAACAGAAGAGAAACTTCTTTACTATGAGGGTTGAATATAAAATAAAAATCTGGAATGAGCAGACTGTTTAGCACCAAAGCAGTAAGAAATTGTGAAGAACATAACCTCTCTACAAAGGAGCTCAACATGCAGCAACTAGATCAAATCCAAGGGAAAAAACCACATACTTCGCTGTTTATGTGCCACATGCTTACTCCCTCCATTTTACTACAGTGATGTCAGACGAGTCTTCAAAGTTTTTGTCCACCTTATGAAAACACAGTGAGATGTAAAAATCTCACACGAAGTAACCTCGAGAATAAAGTTAACCTTCTGTAAGCTCACCTGTCACGTACACACTTAGCACACATGGAACCACCATAGGCTCTGCTGACATGCTTCTTCGTTTTTGACAGCCTCATAAGAACTTTAGGACGCACAGCACGAACCTACAAAAGCAAAAATGAGAAGTGTAGCGTAAGACACTAATTTTGGTTAACAGCTGTATCAAGAAAATTCACTCTGATAATTTAAAAAAGCAGCAACACCTGAAGTCGACTATTCAAGATGCAAAAAAGTGACTGAAGTCGCAGCTTGCTGTTATGTGCCATTGTCAGCATTCCAAAGCTGATCTTTTCATTCTACCACAGAGGTTCACCGAGTGGTTAAAAAACTTTATAAAACAGATTGTTTTCCCAAGCACAGGAACTGTTCAAAGATTGATATTACTCCAGCATTCCCATCACTGTTAAGAGCAATGACATTACACCAAGAAAACATTTTTGGAAAAAAACAGGTTAAGAACACTCATTCCTTTTTTCTGAAACTGGAACTCAAACTTGGCTCACAGGTTTTTTTGAAAGCCTACCCAACAGGTCTAATTTAGACTTTTAAACGTGCTACAGAATCACCTCAGTCGAGCTCTAAAAACTTCAGCCAGTTACATCTTATAAAACAAGAGGCTTCACATGTAACAGCAATGAGAAACAAAAAAGCATTAATAAAGCACTTACTCTGTAAGCTCTGAAAGCTTATTTTGCCAGTTAAGATTTACAACATTCAGAGCACAATATTTAAAATAAGAAAGTTGTTCCAACAAGAATTCATCAATAAACAGGCATATTACTTAAAAAGGTGCTTTGTACTGAAAAAAAACATTGCTGCAAAAAAAAAAAGTTATGCCAGTAAGGCTAATACTTACACCACGAAGTCTTCCCGGGCATATACCACATGCCGACTTTGGTGCCTTCCCTACTTTCTTGGTGTAAAGGTAAACAATCCTGTTCCCGGGTGTTCGGGACCTAAACATGGCAGAAAAATACTCCGTTAATGTAACAATGAAATCGTAAACTTGGCTTTCTTAGAAAAAAGTTTTCTTAGAAACTACGTCTTACTTACAGTCTGGTCTTGTTGGAAGCTGTGTTGTAGGACAACCTACGGCGGTAGGTCAGGCGCTGAACCATTTTTCACACCTAAATTAGCCAGATAAAGCAGCACTAGTTTAAAGGCTCACACAGAAGTTCGCATATCACAGCATCATCCGCGCGGAATGACTGGGCCAGATCCCAGCCAGCAGCTGCTGATTCTGTGTTACTATTGAGAAAGCCAAAGCATTTCCTCATCAACAACAGCCAACACAACATTAAAAAACAACAAAACATCTGATCATGGGCAGAATGTGATCTGCCACTAAGACTCATCTAAACTAACCTGAACACAGCTCAACATCCTGGTCTTGCCTGTACAATGTCACGCTCCCCTGGAAAACTGTTTACAGCTTTACCAGCTGTGTATCTTCTAATCAACGTAAGCTTTGCTGGCAAGGCCGAAAACTGAGCTGAAGCAAATGATCTCACCTGCCTGCAAACTGCATTTCAGACTCATTAAGGCTGGAAAAGACCTCTAAGCTCATCAAGTCCAACTGTCAACCCAACGCCACCATGCCTGCTAAACCATGTCCTGAAGTGCCATATCTACACGGTTTTTGAACCCCTCCAGAAATGGTGACTCCACCACTTCCCTGGGCAGCCTGTTCCAACGCTTCACAACTCTTTCAGTAAAGAAATCTTTCCTGAGATCCAATCTAACCCTCCCCTGGCGCAACTTGAGGCCAGACGCTAGGCCACGCGCTAGGCCCAGACCAGACCCGGGGCCTCCCCCAGGCTCAGCACCAGGCGGCGAGGGCAGCGCACCCCGCTCCGGCGGCGGGGAGCAACACCCCACGCAGG